GTTCAATAAATAGTTAAGCACCAATTATGTGCCAGGTCATGGACAAGGCCCTGGGAATATAACAGTGAACATGACTTTGTTCGGGTCCATGGTACTTTTGGACTCACTGTCTGTGCTCTATTGGTCCAGCTGCACACAGTCAGTTGGCTCTGTGTACGTGCCTCTAATATAGCTATTTCACAACAGAAGGTGCCATAGCTGAATCTGTGGGTCAGCAGCCACTGGCTGAACACGTCTGCCCCACTTGAAGATATACCAACAGTGTTGCCACTGATGAAACAGATTAGGAGGAGGAGGAGACTTGGGTGTAGGGGAAGCAGCCTGGACTTGGAGTTGAGAGTCTGGGTTCCAGTCCCAAAAGGGCTTGCTTATGTCAGTGTTGGCTGGTCCACTAGGTAAGCAAGGATATAAAACTGTGGGCAGTAAAATAGACGTGGACGAGCTCCAACATGCAAAACTGTGGGCAGAGGGCCTGTTGTGCTCAGGGCGAGCTTCCTTCCAGCTGCAACTTTCTCTGGTACTAATTTTGCTCTCCACAAAATCCTTCCACTGGCAGACACATAGAAACAGTTTCACATAGGCAGGTTTCTAACTTGTCTGAAATGTGGCTTCTCGTATCCCTTGTCTACCAAAAGTAGTAGAATGGTGACTGAACAACTGAATCTAGAGAGTAAGTGAATTGGTACCATGAGCCTTGCTGGGCTCCCAGCAATATAAGTTTCCCGGAAAGGCCTCAGATGGGATGAGAGTTTGTTTTGCTCTGGAATATAGAGCCTAGGAGAAGTCCAATGTCTTTTTCATGACACTGTTTAGCCGGCCTGGTCCCATACAGAAACTGAATCACGGTCAGGTTTAGGTACAGAATATGGAATGGCAGTGGGCCCCACTTAAACTTGAGCTGTTCCTGAATCTCCTGCTGGCCCTGCCTATACCTCACCCCACCCCCCAATGCCCCAGAGGAAGCCCACATACATGTTTAGTGCCAGGGACAGGCCCGGCCCAGCACTGCCCTACCAGTTTAGGATGTTTGTGGTGGGATTTCCAAGTACCTAAGTAGATGGCTGAGGTTTTGGGTCCCTGGTAAGAGATGGGGGTGGGGGAGGGGAGTGAAGGAGGAAGACCAAGAATTTCCTGATTACTTGACAAACATAAACTCAGGCCTGAGCTTTAGTCAGGGCTCTGAGGACATCAGATCAGTAAATCTCAGGTCCTTGTTTACTTTCCTCCCCAGGCTCTCCTTCTGTCTTGTCTGGCACTGATAAAGTGCAGGCTCTGAAAATGTGCCCCGTGGTTTGATAAGGATGGGTATATCTAAAAGCTTGCAGGAGTGAATGACTCAGCTATAGCCGAAGAGAGTCACATCGTGCAGATGTGGACATTTGTTCTCACACATCTCTTAAAGCATTTCTACAGCTTATTATTTTTTTTTTAGTCACCTCTATGACACACAAGTGACACTGCTGAGCTGGGATTCCCACTCCTGGTTTTCTGTCTCCCTGGACACACCTTCAGCTCCTGGTCAGGACTACTGTGCTGTATACTCCTTGAGACTTCTCAGCTACCTCCGAGGACCCCCATCAAGGCCTAAAGATCAAAATCTATACCTCAGGATGCCCATGTTGTCCATCCTGTCCTAAAAAAAAAGACTAAGGTATCTTTAAGGCCCCTTACAGACATGAGGACTCAAACCAACACAATGAAGAACAGGATTTGCTGAACTTGCTGCACTGGTCACTTGTGCTACTAATAAAGTCCACAGCTCTCGCAGGCCCCTTTGTTTAGGTCCTGCCCCAGCCACCCATTCCAGGTAGGGGGCTCTCAGGCCACCCCAAGCATCTAACTTGCACACACCTGCACCAGCACCTCTGTTTATGTAGTTACCTCCTTGAAGACTTTCCTGCAGTCTCTTATCTGTCAAGCAACCTAATCTTCTTCAATATGTTCTCTCAGGCCATGTTTTGGAAATGGTAGAATGTGAAACTATTTGATATCCTGACAGCCGAACCAGAGCAAAAATGACCAGCAGGCTCGGTCATGTTGCTGAGGTTAAACATCAACTGTTTAAACACTAATCGTGAAATTTGCAAATGCGTAAATATCATATTGTGTGTGGGAGCCAGAGAATTTGTTCAAAAGCAGCTACTTGATATGTGTCAAAATGAGGCCTTAGTTACAGAGCAACACAGCAGGCCAACAAAATACATATTCTGGTGTTTCATAAACCTACTACAGCAAGGAGACTAATAGAAATAACTCTCCTGCCAAACAGAAAGTTCCAGATGCTGAGGCAATAAATAAGAAGAGAAAGCTGTGGGCTGTGAAATATCAGAGAAAGATAATTCCCTCTTAGAAATGAAAGTTCAGTGTGTTCGGAGTAACCTGAGATACCCCAGGCCTCTCCAGCCTGGACAGGCAGATGAGGTTACACTAGGAATAATCCACATTCCATTCTATGTCCTGCCTGCTCTTGTTGGATGGACTTCAGGCCCTGGAAGGGCTCCATGCCTGTTCTGGGAGCACCAGGGATATTTCTTGGGTTCTTATGAACAAAGCTGGTCCCGCCGAGTGTCTGCAGGGCTCTAGCAGACCGGGCTTCTGCTTTCCACACCCAGGACATTGGGCACCTGCATGCTGGTAGGTGGTGAAATCAAGAAACAGCTTTCTCCCCAAGTGTTCATTTGTACTCCAGGGCCTTATAGAATTTTAGCAAAAGAGCCTTTTAAGATTTTGACTCATGGGTCCCCACTGCCACAGAGCTCAAGGTAGTCTGGACCAGGAGACAAATCTAAGCATTAGACACCACAGGTTACTCAGGATCATCCCTCTTCTCCCAATGACCATTACTGGGTCCAGCTGGTCTTGGGCTTTTACAAAGTCTTCCGTTTCAAAAGGAATTAAACTTTTTCTTTCTTAAAATTGCCTCAGGAGGCAATGCGACCGGACTATAGTCACAGATGCAAGCAATCCTCATCACAACATAAGGTGTTAATGATGCCCTTGGCTCATGCTTGTCTTGTTATAATAATCTGAGAATTAAATTAATATAAACAATGCTATTTATAAAACAGTCATTTATATTTAGAGTACATACTTTCATAAAAACTATTAAATACATTTTTAAAATGTTTAAAAACTTGTAACTGCTTTGCCCTCTAAGAGATTGGAAGAAATAATCGCAAATCCCTATAAACTCTAAAACTCAACAAGGCTCTATAACCCATAGCTTCCCAAATCTACTCTGGTTATAAATTCCCATAAAAGGATGGAAGAGATTAAAAAAAATCTTTGGAGGAATTTATCACCTGCCTCCATGTCTATAAATACTCCATGGACACAAAATACAATCATTCAAATTCACTGGAAACCACCTATATTTTTTAAAGAACTTATTTTGGCCAAGAGCTGAGAACCCAGGAATGAGTCTGGAGTTCCTAATTTGTGCAGCTTCCCCAACACAAGTTACAGCAGCCAGAGATGAGTGCAAAAGTTTCCACAAGATTCTGGAATGGAGAGAATGCATTTTTAGGGCAAATTCGATTTTTTCAAATGGCATTTATAGCAACTAGCATATTGCATTCTCTCCATCTCCGTGAGGGAAGCAGGATGGGTATTAACTGCTTCAGAAATATAAACACAGAAACTCAGCTGAGGTCAAAGAAAATAAAAGCCACCAACAGAGCTATGCTTAGAAGATAAACCCCAAATCTGAGACCAGTTGGGTCTGCCCAGCATAATAAGATCCCCTTATGTCTAAAGACAGCCTGTTTGCTTTGAGATTGAGTTGAGTTTAGTATCTCTTGCTTTGAAGCCAATTGGGAATAGCTCAGAGAATGGGTGGACCAGTTTTAGCTGTGGCCTAACAAATAATAAGTCGGGTCCAGCCAGGAACTTCCCTGCCAACTCTGCTCTACAAGCCAAGCCTTAAAGAAGTGTAGGAGAAGAAATACTCCATTTCTCAGTAGGGCATACCTAAGACCCTACTGCCATTTTATAAACTGTCCAAGGCAAAAACATCTCAATACCAGGTTCAGGTGCCAAGTGGAGCAGCAAGGTGGAGATTATAGGAACCCTACCGTGATGATTGTTGAGCTAATTTTCTCTTAGCTTCAAGTCCATCCTTTTATACTATACTCTGAGATGCTGGTGATGGGTTTCTGCAAACTACATTTCTGCTTTCCTCACTGATAGGGCCTGCCCGTAGGGATGCTAGAGAGAGCCTAAGAGGCTGGAGGAGGAAGAAGGAACTCATTTCTGGTTTGCTTCCAGCTTATCTCTTTTGGCTTCCTGTGTCTGTCTGTTTCCCCTAGCAATGCTTCTTCTTCACTCAGGCAGTGTCGATTCCATTCAGAAGCATTTGAGTCCAGTTTTTGGTTTTCCCAACATTGACAGGACCAACCTCAGCCAAAGCAGCTCCGACTCCTCAGAGGCAGAGGTACTATCCCCACAGGGGCTCTTCTCTGAGCTCAGAGACACCAGCACCAGCTGAGAAGTATCCCCACTCTCCCGCCTCAGAAATCTGATATTCACCCCCCATACCCCTTCTCCAAATATCTGGCTTTTAGTAAGTCCAAGATCTTTCCTTTGTTCCCCCCAGCCTTGGAGGTGATAACTGCTTCCTGTAGGTGCTACCTCCATTGATAATTTCGTGTTCTCTTCCTGGCCTTTTAAGTTACCTAGTTAAGAATTCTTAATATTAAATTATCTCTGGTGATATAACTGGTGTGACTTCTGTTTCCTTCCCGAACCTGGACTAATTTACCCACAGTTATGTCCTTAGCATCTATAGTAGGAAACTAGTGCCATGGGCTTTCCAGTCCCATCTGGCTGCAGCGCTGTGGAGGACATGCCCATCCACCCACAGCCCACATTCTGATCAGGTTTATCTCAGCCAACCTCTGCACTAGCAAGGGCAAGTTCGAATATAAAGGACATGGTGAAATTTGTGGCAAATGGAGCTTAATTGCTGTATAATCTTGGAGAGTAGTTGCAGGGACTCCTTGCTAAATATTTGAATGTTTTTCCTTGCTGGCCAGAAGTGGGCTATATGGAAGCATCCTCATCATAGGTTTTCGAGAGAAGATGATTTTGTTATAGTTTGCAGTGGGACTTTCTCTGGAATCCATATGAAAGGGTATAGGTTCTGGGATAACAGTGGAACCCGTGGCCAACAAAGAGAAAGTGCCCCAAACTGATAGTGTGGTCTCCGACTTCATGTCCTTGAACATCATGTTATCAGAGGTCTTGGATGACTTTCTCCTTTTGGGTTGGATAATGCTGGAAGGTTTGTTCTGCCTCAGTGTCCGTCCACGTTCCTCGACATCTGGCATGCATTCTCGTTCTCTAGCTTTGCTTTTCTCAATGAGTCTTTTCACCACTGGGGAGGTATATGTGACATAAGCTGGCCAAGGGTCATGTTTTTCAAGCAGTTTCAGGGGAAGCCCGATGTTTTCTGTGAGTTCTACCAGCAAAGAGAAATTAGGCAATTTAGAGGCTCTCACAAACAATAATTAAATTCTTCAAAATTGGAGAGTATTGGAACTACATTTTAAATTTCTCCCCCTCATGCATATTATCCCTCCATCCCTTGTATTCACTAAGAATAAAATCTAATCCAAAATTGGGAGACAGAATGGCATTCCATAGAGTATATCAATTAAAGAACAGCATGATGGGAAAGAGCAGGGGACTTAAGAGTCTAGCAGGCTTGGTTTCAGATCTTTGTATAACATCGAATTGTTCTGTTCTGCACTTCTATTTTTTCACTAATATAAGTGGTTACCATAAGGCTATTTTAAAGGTTAAATAAAGTAGTATATTTTAAGGGCTTGAAACATGGGCTCTGCACTTAGACTGTTTGAGTTCAAATTCCTTCTCTATACCCTTAGCAGCTGTGAATCTTGAGCAAGTGTCTTAACTCTTTTAAGCCTTAGTTGCCTCAGTTATCAAATGGTGATTAGAATAAGATCAACTTAATAGAGCCTTCATGTGGATTAAAGGGAAAAATATATAAAGCTTTTAGCAAAGTACCTGCATATAGTAATTAGTAAATGATAACAAGGAATATTTTGGCTATGTCTCCTTGCCTGCGCTATTTTATTTAATCCTTGTTATATCTTAGAATGAGTGTTTTCCCCCCATTTAACAGAGGATGAGACCAAGGTAGAATAGCTTGCACAACCAGCAAGTTGTGGGCTTGAAATCAAGTCTAATGGGCTCAAAACTCCAAAAAGTGTCATTGTAGTTGCTAGCCAGAAGTTGGGGTGTTAAGGGGTGGCGGGGGGCATTACTAGAAATTCTACCCATTATTTTACCAAGCAGCCTGTTCCTTTGTAGACACCAAATCATGGGCAAGTCAGTCTTTCTTCCCTTTACAATTTTACTCTGTCTAGCAGAAAATGCCTCAACATTTCTCTCCTGCAGGTTTACCCTCCTCTGTTTTCTCAAATGGTATATACTTCCCTTGATTTTATATTTCTTTGGTCATTTCAGTAAGAGTTTGGAAGGCAGTGGAATTAAAAGGCTCATCTTGCCACCTCCAACCTGAATCCAGTGCAAAACACTATTAACAGGGATAATCAAAAGAAGATTCAGGTTATACAGTTATTCCCAGGCTGTCTCACGGGTGTTCTGGAGGTGGAGCTCATCCGGGGACAGATCTGTTAGGAAAGAGCATGTTGTGGAAAGTCTCATCTCCCTGCAAGAGTATTACTCTCCCCAGAGAAGGCAAGATGTGTGATACCACATCTCGCTAGAAAACGTGCATCGGAGTTCTCAGGCACGGACTTGGCTGTTCGGCCTTGTCTCCTCAGAACAAATGCAGAATGCACAGATCTTGCAGGTTAGGGCATTCGCTTATGTCTGGCAGAGGTGAAACTAAAACTGTCTAGAGCAAAATGAGCAGCGACCCTCTTCTACCTCCCCAACGCTATATTTGTTCTACCAGTGTAACATGAGTAGTCATCCCCTGTGCCCCACCTCTTTGTCTTTCCACCCCAAATCCTCTAGCCAACCCCACAATAGAAGCGCCCATTGTTAAGGCCCCAAGCCCTACCTTCATCTGTCTTCATCTTTCTTGCATCAGTCCTATTCATTTTTAGGAAGTTTTTCACATCGTAGGTCCAAATATCTTTGGGAAAATATACTCGTTAGCCAGAGCCACCACAAAGTGACCTGAGAAGAAAGTGATCAGCAGCCACCCTGGAATCCCAAGTGAAAGGATCTCTGCTTGAGGCTCAGTGACCCCACCCTCGGAGAAGAGGACATGCCTTCTGTGGAACAGGAGAGAGGCTGGGTGAGTGCAGCACAGAAGGTCACATCAGTCTCTAGGCCTTCTGCTTTCCAATCTCCAAACTTTCAAGAACTCAGTGCTGGGCTGCCTGGGGGCTGTATGGAGGTTGGACCATGGAAAAAGGTAAAGAAAGGTCCCCACTTTTAAACCATGCCATCTTTTCTTCCAGAGTCCAACTGTGGTCGTGTTACTGAAAGTGAGCCAAGTTTCTGCCCTCTAGCTGCACTTCTCAACCTGGCACTGGCAGAGACGGACAGCTGCCAGGAGTCAACTTCAGGGGCTCCAAGCACAGGACAATGAGGGAAGTCTTAATGCTCTATACAGCTGTGCATGCGAGCATTTTACTGGCAACTGTGGTCTAAAGTCTCGAATTTAAGGGTACATCTACCTGGAGGGCTTGTTATAATATAGACTGCTGGGCTCCACCTCCAGAACTGCTGATTCAGCAGTCAGTATTCTAAACCAAAGGTGGGTAGGAAAACGCTGAAGATTTATAAGGTTTTGTTATTAACTACCTAGTGATAGGAAACAGATCCAGGAGATCTTTTCAGTTCCTTTCCAGTTCTAAAATTGGAAAGGGCACATTCGAGAATTCTTATCCAAGAAGTCATTACTTTTTATGTTCACTTTTGCCATCTCTGTGACCTTTGAACATTTACAACTCCCATGGAGCATTTCTATTATCACCTGCCAATGCCCAATTAAAGAATCTCAGATGGTTTTTAAGAAGTTCCCAGGTGATGCTGGGAGACCACATTTTGAGAACTATATCACTCTAGGAAAATGCTTCTCAAACTTTAGTGAGCACTAGAATTACTTAGAAAGCTTGTTAAAATATAGACAGCTGGGTGCCATCCCCAGTGATTCTGATTCAGTGGGTCTGTAGTGGAGGCCTGAGAATTTGCATTTCTAAGTACCTCTGAAGTAATTCATCTGGTCTGAGGATCATACTCCAAATAGCTCTGGTTTAGACTGAATAATGTTTCTTAACCTTTATTTCAGCTGACTTGTTCATGTGTGAAACATTCCCCTGAGATAAGCAATTCCCGGGTTTTATACCCTTTTTCCCTCTAATCAAGGAACCATTGTGGAAGGCAAGTAAGTATGTTGTTGGCTAGGACAACCTTAAATTACACAATATTTAAAGTAAATTATTCACAAATATTAGCATTTTATTATAACACACCTAACAAAGGATAGCATCTTAGAAATTCGTTCATACTCTTTTAAAAAATTAAAAAGCTAGTTTTTGTCAAACCTACTCTGATGCAGGCCTTACAGGGTCCCTACTACTAAGTCCTAGTGGCAATTTTAGGAGAATTCACAATATAGTTTTTCTGCAGCTAGGGAAGAAAAATACTCAAATAGTTCTTTAAACTTGAAAGAGTTTTACACAATAAAAAAAAAAGAAATTGGAAATGGAAGTATCTTATTTCTCTTTCTAAGACCTACCATGGGATCTCAGAATTTCAGGGCATCCATTCCAAGTCCTCAGTAACATAGAGTATGTCATCCAAGTGTCACCCTCAGCTACTGATATGGCAACTCTAGTAAATAGCAGGTTTTTCTCACATCTGCTCATGTAGAAACTGGGAAACTTTAAAACCAAAGGAGAGAATGTTTGAGACAGCCTCAAACTCATGGGAGGACTTGTTTGTTTGAAAAGAAGAAGAGAAATAGTTGACATTAAATGTGAAGACAAGCTGTGGGCTTTTATAATTTCCTTCAACTCTGGCACAAAGGTTCCATTTTGTCTCCTAAATGAAATGCAAACCAGCAGTCTACAGACAGAAACAACACTGATGGGAGGGGCGAGAGACAGAACATTGAAATGGTTTCCTTGTTTCTCCTACAGTCACAAAGGCGCATGTTTAATCCACCGGGTTTTCAAGCCCAGCTCCTCCCTCCACTAGCCCAGTCTCTTATCCCATTTCCAGAATTTAACCTGATACGCTGGGTTTGGCCTAAATAAATTCAAAAGAGTGACACGTGCCTGAAACCTGACACAAATGTGTGAGATTGATCACGATCCTTAACTTCTTAGGACCTCTGTTGTCTCACTTACGAGATGAGGATGAGGATGAATTTCTGTCCTGCTTCTCTCACAGAGGCATGGCTGTTATAGTAAAATGTCTAAAAATGAAAGTACTTCTAAACCAGCGATCCCTCAGCTTAGCTGCACATTGGAATTACTGAAGATCTTTTAAAAATCAAATGCTTGGCTCCCACGCTCAAAATTGTGATTTAATTGGAATGGGATGCAACACAGGCATCAGAATTAAAAGCTTGATTCTAATGTGCTGCAAAGTTTGGGAACCACTATTCTAGAATCTAAACCAAAAACACTGAAGATTTATAGGGTATTAACTACTTAAGAAATGGGAAACTGGTCCAGGAGATTATTTTAGCCCTCTGGCAGTCCTAAAACACATATTTTCATTCAAGAATTCTTCATTATATATAGTCAGTACTGCATACCAGTGACCTTTAAACATTTAAAATGACCATGGAGAATTTCCACCACCACCTGCCAATACCGGAATTGACTCAGATCAAAGGAGACCCAGTGCCTTAAAGTACTGAGCTAAGAAAACTGTGGTCCTGAATGGTATTTTTATGCAAAGCTAATCTCACCCTCTGTCTTTGGCCACAAGTTGCATCCTTATCTCAGGAAATCATCTTGAAAAAGGATTTTGTGGGTTCCAGGCAGGACAGATGGATGAGTGCTCTCACATAAGTCAACCCCATTCAGACTTTTAGCCCCAATAACACTGTGAAAGTAGTGCTGTTTGCATATTCATGATAGGCAAGACATCATCTTAACCCAATGTTTCCTAAGCTGTGTCCTATAGAATGCAAGAATCTCTCAAAATATTAGTAGGTGTTACTTAGAGGGGGGAAAAAAGGTCCATGGCAAGAGTCATCCTAAATGGTCACATAGATTGTTTAATCCAGGGGACTATATTCACATAGTCTATGATGTTGTGCAATATAAGTTTAGAAGAACTGTCCTCAGTCAGGTAATTCTGAAAACTGATATGTTAAACAAATTCATTTAGTGCAGGACTTCTTAGAGCCCATACTATGTTAACTTGTTCTGTAACTCTCCAAAAGGTAGACAGATTTGCAGCCTCTCCTAATCTCATTTGACTAAAAAAATCATTCATTCATTCATTGGGTAGGGCATATCGTGGACAAGTAACCAGGAAAATGTGTGGATTCCGAAATCCTTTTCCAGCACTTGTTTTGGAATTGTGAGTATAAGACTGTTATGACATTAAGAAGATGGAAGAATGAACTTACTCAGGATATAGCTTGGGTCTTCAATGACTCACTTCCTCTAAAATCAGCCTTAAAAGGTTGATCCCACAAAAGTATCCATACCCAGAAGAACAAGCCAAGATGATGGCCTAATGCTTCATTGAATATGAGACCTATTTCCCTCTGTTCAGCCTCTTTTCTCTCTTCTCTGCTCCAATATGCAGGTATCTTGTCTTGCTTGTCTCATCTCTCATTTTTCTCCCTTTGTCATACCTGAGTCTTGTCTGATCCCAGAAGGACAACCACTTCCAAAACAGAAAGCTATGCAGTTTTATTTCGCCCCTACATATTATCCTCCTCAACCTCTCATGTCCTCCTCTGCCCTCTGTTTCCTTGTCTGTCCTCTGGCTGTTCTTCATTTATTTATGGCTAAAGAGGAAGCTGTCACTTAGACCAGAAGTGTCTTGGAAGGCTTATCTCTAAGATCCAGAGAAATATTCCCAGGCATGAATCAACCTGGTGCAGTGTGTATTTCATGTGCCAATCTCCATCCTGAATGTACACATACACACACACACACGCACACACACACACACACACACACACACACGCCACATCTTACAGGCCAAGTACATGTTCTAACCTTCTGCATTTCAGACCTGGGAAAATACAGCGCACACCTCACAGACTTCCCATTAGTCCCACCTCTTTACCCTGCCCCCTATCCCATGGAAGCTATGGAAACTCTTGCCATAGCCCCACCTCTGCCTGATGGGCTCTAGGGAGGTGAACACAAAATAATGGTTTGATTTGCTTTTAGCAACACTGATGCTGAGGGGCACTGGGAGTCCTAGAACTGTTAAAACAGAAGGGAGTAAGTGTTGAAGGAGCAGGTTGGTCTTTCAAAAAAGAAGAGGAGTTTTCTCCCTTCTTATACTGGCCACCTTCTCTTCCTCAATGCTGCTCCTCTCAAACATATACACACTCCAAGGAGAGGAGAAACAAGCCCATCACTGCGCTCTGTTAAAAATTCAGGTTGTTGAAAAGCACATGATATCACTTATATGTGGGATATAAACCTAAAAACAACATACAAACAGGACAAACAAGCAGAGACTCATGGACATGAACAATAAACTAGTGGTTACCAGAGGGGAGAGGGCAAGGGGGAGGGGAGGCAGATGGAGTGAAAGGGGTCAAATATGCGGTGACAGAAAGAAATCTAACTATGGGCAGTAAACACAATGCAATATGTGTACAACACACACACACACACACACACACACACACACACACACCTTACTGTTGAATTGTATACCAAAAAATTAATGGATTTCATTAACCAAGTCATCATAATAAAAAAAAAAATTTTAATCAGGTTGTATGTGAAAGGCACAAAAAATAATCTGTGTCATCTTTGTCATCAGAAAAGGCAGGTTGTCAGTATGTTCTAATATAGACCATGCCTCTTTCTAGGGGGAAGCAATTATCTCTAACCACATATGGGAAGGGAAGATAGGAGTCTAATCAGAGGTGCCCATCTTCTAACACAGATCTAGCACCACTTATGGTGGTGG